GAATTGCTATATGAGATGTATACGAAATACAGTGAATATATCTCATTTAACTAATTTACTGGTAGTCTCGAAACTCTACTTATATACAAAAAATAGAATTGTTTCTCTAAAGGCATTCTTAACCAGGGTGGACTACATTCTCGACCTCGCCTAAGTCACATAACTACCCATGGCGGGAATAAAAATCTGGTTGTGTAGCGTATAGACTCGAAGCGTTAGTCAATACGCCCCATTACCACGAGTGCTCTTGGGTCACAAGGCAGAAATAAATTTTAGGAATGACTAGCCTTATGACTTGTTCGATTGCAATATCAGATACAACTTTGCTTCATCTACAATCTCACCACATAAATGTGATACAGAAAAGGCCCAGGCTTTCTATAAGCTCACTTATGGCCCTTGAGCCACAGACCCTGGTGGAAGTGTGATGAAGTGTTTCGCATGTTAAGGCTATTCGCTGCGCAACCAGTGATCAAGCATCGCTGGATAGGCTATGCGATGTCTAACTGCGGTCCGTCCTGTATGACAAGGCCTTTCAGGAAGCAAGGCGATGTAAAATGTAATGAAATCATAAGGCCTACTTATATCATTGGGAGAACCGTGACCTACCCATCCTACATTACTTCACATTAAATAGGGTGAATACAGTTCTTATACAATATCTCGTGTTAGTCGTAAAAATTTAAATATAAAGAAGGGAAATTAAGAATTTATCGATTGTAATGGCAAAGACAAAGTTGCTTCTAACCAGTTAAATACGGTAAAGGAATGGCCTAGGCCTACGTTAAATTCACTTCTGCCCTGTGACTATAGTTCAATTGTAGCAATGCGGCGTAGTGGCTGACGTGTCAATATTATATATTCTATGCAACTAGGCTCCCAAGAACGACGGGGATTATGAGGAGACCTAGGCGAGGTCGAACCTACAGTCTATTCTGGATGTGAATAAGTTTTGGGAAGCTAGGCTATGTAACTTTTAATGAAAAGATAAAGCATACTTATATGATTGTAGAAAAATTGAATCACCTTAAAAGAAATGTAATTAATATAATTTTTATACTTGATAAATTATCAGTCATCTTCTTTATGTTATAAGAGAATAATTTTGTTAATTCATGACTTGCTATAAATTTTTGGTCAAACATTAACCTGAATGGCACTTATTCTCTGATTATTCTTCTTTGCTTGTATCATTACAGCGATCTTGTGTCTCCTCGTAAATATTATTTCATCGTCAGTTTCTCATATTCCCAGTTAATGTCAATTTGTGCCAGCACGACATGCAGTACTACGTTGATATTCATTGTTTGATCCTAACATAACTAATGCTTATTCGTTCACATTTATTACATTCGTGTAGTAAACTTTTAACTAACTCAGCAATAATGAGTAATTTGTGTTACTTAGTATAAGAGGCCCTACATTTAGCCGAATCGAAATCTTTCAATCCGTTATGGATGATAATATTTATTCCTTCGAAATTCTATTTCGTAATAGTAAAAAGTTAAAGAAATTCTAACATAATTTATTTATTTAGTCTTATATCTATAGTATAAAATATTTTGTTTTATATTTATAATCCTATGAGTTTAGTACACGTTAGGTAAATTTTAATCTTATTGAAGCATAATAACTTAAGCAGTTATATATATATACTTTAACTACCTTTTTTTTAAAAAATTTAAAATATATTTAAATAAATTTAGTAAAAAATTATTATTTAAGACAAAGAATAATATACTCTTTTGCTGATTTGATATTCCGTTGATTCCTTGTCCCGCCCATTACCAATAGGTAATCTACAACATGTTTTGGCATTGACCGTTACTCATTTACAGAATCATGTTACTTACGCTTTTTTCAAAATTTCTATTGTCTACTCGCTTTTTAAGCAGCGCAAGGCCTAGTCCTATTCGTGATCCGGTGATTAAGTTCACTAAAGTATATTTTATCACCTTCCCTATTTAAGCTTTTTATAAATAACGAATGGCATGATTCTATCAGCGGTAAAACGTTACCGACTGTAAATCCTACAACCGGAAAGGAGATTTGTCATGTTTCATCTGCAGATGCTGTAAGATAATTTGCTCTTTTGAATTTAATAAATGGTTTGTATTATACTATCATGTTATTATCTAGTTAAACGTTGTACATCATATTATTAGAGCCTTTTCTCTTTATGTTTGCTCCGATCACTATCTAAATTTAATTTCTAAAGTTATGCAGACCAGTATGACTACGCCTGATCCTTTTCTATTTTCTGATGAATTCACATTCACCTAGCTTATTCTTTGATGATCTTTTTTTACAAACAGGCTGATGTTGATAAAGCTGTTAAAGCTGCTAATGATGCCTTTTCAGCTGGCTCTGAGTGGATGCGAATGGATGCTTCTCAGCGAGGAGTCCTTTTGAATAAACTTGCCGAGCTTATTGAGCGCGATTCTGTGTATCTCGCAGTAAGCGTATACTTTTATTTGTCCTGTCCCCTTTATTAAAATTTCACTGTTTCTGTACTGTTTTTGGTCCATATATCTGTCACGTCT